AAAACAAATTTTCGTGGTTAACGCAATTTTAGTTAAAGTTAGCAGGTGGAAGCTCGGTTAATATATAGAGATAATAATATTTGCCCGCCTATATTAAAGTGACTCGCTCATAACTTTGTTTGCACTTCACAAAGTTCATAGCACTTTACATACTGTTTGAATTTTTACTTTTTATTTATACACAATACAGTTTTATTTATTAAGATATGAGTGAGATCCTCTCATCCTAGATGTGATTATATCTAAGTATGTGATGCCTTAATTAAAAACAATAATTAATATTGATCCTTCACTATAATTTCAATGGTTGACTCTAATTAAAAACACAATCAATTGAAATGAAATGAAATGAAATAGTTTATTCTTGCAAGTAGGACTATATAAATCACTTTTACAATGTCATCCTAAACTAGATGAAGTCGACATTTCCTAACTGACTGCCCTGAGAAGAAATGTCGAAACAAACTCGGGGGTCTTAGTCTCTTTTATAGTCCAGATAATACAATAATAAATTAATAAATTGGTGTAAACAAATGCAGAGTATTTACTGGACTGGTCTTTGGAAGAAAGAACCAGATCGATCTGAGCAAGCCTGTGCCAGCAGACGGCAAGCATGCCCCGAATAGCTCATGCAGCTCAACCATTTTTGAGGGAGCTGCACAACCCGGTACACAGCAATACCGCCAGTGGCACCATAAAAATATGTGGGGCAACAACTCACTCAGATCGCCAGCCCAAAATAACTATATACTAAAATGTATCAAATTATAAATCAAGCAAAAGAGTTTATGATATACCCGCATAATGTTTACACTTACAATGGATACAAAATGTATTTTTAAGGTGTACCTTAAAGCAAGGAAAAAATAATGAAATTGAAAAATATAATCGTAATATAAACATTATTCACTTGGCATGTCAAAGTGTAAAATATTGTATGCAAAAGCACAAAACATGTCAGTATTGTAGAAAAAGAAAAAATGAATATGCACTAAGCACAAAACATGTCAGTAATGTAGAGAAAAAAAAAATGAATATGCACTAAGCACAAACATGTCAATAGAATAAAATAAAATGCATATGCAAAAGCACAAGACATGTCAGATTGTAAATATGTACAACATGCAAAAAAAAAAAAAATGTGAAAGACAGCTTAAAAAAACACAAGCGATAGCTGTATAAGCGAGCAGCTCAATCCCAGGCGTTTCTATCATTTAAATAATCGGATATCCTGTAATATCCTTTAGTTAATAATTTTGATTTAATAATAAAATTTAAATTTCTTAAGGGGAAGTTTACGAACATCCATAGGAAGTTTATTGTAAAAGCGTATACATTGACCCATGAACGAGTTGCTTATTCTATGAAGGCGAGTAGCATGAACTGTTAAATTATTTTTTGTTCCTAGTATTTCGGGAGTGAAGATCAGACAATTTGACAAAATCAGGTTCGTTTTTGTGAACATAAAGTAAATTTTCAAAAATATATTGTGAAGTTACAGTCAGAATGTTTATCTCTTTGAATTTCTCTCGGAGAGAAACTCTAGGACCCAGGTATATATAGCGCGGACAGCTCTCTTTGTAATAAGAAGATTGTATTAATATCCGCACAGTTTCCCCAAAGGAGAATGCCGTACGTCATCAAGCTATGAAAATAACTGAAATAAACAATTCTGGCTGTATCCACATCAGTAATTTGTCTAATTTTCCTTACAGCATAAGCAGCTGAACTGAGCCTTCCAGACAATTTGTTAATGTGTGGGCCCCACTGTAGTTTGGCGTCAACAGTAATGCCAAGAAAAACAGTTGACTCAACAGGGTCCAACTCTACTCCATTCAGTTGTACATTGGTGCTTAACTGCCTCACATTAGGCGTAGAAAATTTTATTTATTTAGTTTTACTTGGATTCAAAAGCAGATTATTAACATTAAACCAATGGACAACCTTAGATAGTGCCAAATTAACTTGGTCAAAATTTTCAAGCTTTTTAATTTTTTGCTTAACTTTTAAAACAAGCGAAGTGTCATCCGCAAATAATAGGATTTTGTGATCATCCCTTACACAAAAAGGTAAATCATTGATATAGATAAGAAAGGACCTAGAATTGAACCCTGCGGAACACCCATAGTTACCACAGATCCTTTTGATTTTTTGCCATTAACATCTACACTTTGTATTCTATTGTCTAAATATGAACTGAGAAGTCTAAGAGCCTTATTTCTAATGCCATAGTGGTGTAGTTTCTTGATAAGTGTGTCATGGCAAACACAGTCAAAAGCTTTGGACAAGTCACAGAATATGCCTAAAGCATCCTGTGAATTCTCCCAAGCCTCGAATACATTTTTGAGTAGTTCCACACCTGCATCAGCAGTAGACCGACCCTTAGTAAATCCAAATTGTTTGGAATGAAAAAGATTCTGTCTGTTAAAATGCTTTAGCATTTGCTTTAAAATTATTTTCTCAAAAATTTTGCTCAGTGTAGGCAAAATTGAGATAGGGCGAAAATTCGTAGGATCGGTTGTACTACCAGATTTGAAGAGTGGAATCACCTTGCTTAACTTCATTAAGTCCGGAAACACACCAGATGCGACACAAGAGTTGAACACAATTGCCAGAAATGGGGAAATACATTCAATTATTGAGGATATTATTTGAACTGACAACCCCCAAAGATCGGTGGACTTTTTTACTTCTAAATCTTTAAATGCATCTAGAATGTCCTTAGCACTAACAACTGTAAATTCAAAACTTGTCCCACATTCTGCGACACAGTCTTTAAGTATGTTGTATGCGGAGCCGGAAGACGACAACAAAGTTTGAGTTGTTAATACAGGAATATTAGTGAAAAAAGATTCAAACTCGGTTGCCACCTCCAAATCCGCCCTAACATCTATATCATTAATTTTAAGATGAAAATCATTATTCTTAACTGTGGTTCTTCCTATTTCAGAATTAATAATATTCCAAGTAGTTTTAATTTTGTTTGCAGAAGATTGTATTTTGTTTTTAATGTGTAAAGATTTTGAGGCAGCGCAGGCTCTCTTAAAAGTCTTAGAGTAATTTTTAACATACTCCCTAAACCGTTCACTATGATCATGGTTCCTTTAATTATATAATTCAAATAATCTTATTCTGCTTTTAAAAATACCTGGTGTTGCCCAGTCACTAAACAAAACTCGATCACTTACAGAAACTGATCTAGATGTAAAAACCTTCTTAAACTGAGAATTAATCATGTTAAATAATGAAGAGTAAGCTTGGTCAGGGTTATTGTGATAAGGCAAACCAGGCAGTTTTTCATTTAAATTATTTTTAAAAAGTTCTAAACGATAACTGGTTACTGGAACAAAATTAACATTTTTTCGATTTGCTTTAACAATGTCTTTAGTAAATGAAACCAACTGGCCACAGTGATCTGAATCTAACAGATTAATAATTGAATAGAAAGTTGGCTTCACATTTGTAAAAACATTGTCAATACAAGTGGCACTGGTGGCAGTTATTCTAGTTGGCTCAAGGAAAATATTATATAAATTATATGATTTCAATAAGATTAAAAATCTATTAACAATACTAGATTTATCTAATAAGTTAATGTTAAAGTCTCCACAGACGGCAACTGTTTTATTAGTATTAGAATTCAAACTCATTTATTAATTTAGGTAACACAATGTATCACACTTATTGTTACAATAAGTACACTATTGAACGTCAAAAAGAAATACATAAAATAAAAATAAATAAAAATAAATAAAATATGTTTATTATTTAACATAAGATACATCAATCATTTATTCCACGTCATTAAATTTGAATCTGTAGGTATCCCTACTCATCGGCAAAGAAGACAAAGGGTGTAGGCCGAGAGAAAAAGCCGGTGTAAAAAACTCTCGGTACAAAAAAAATTAAATGCTTCAATTTTACATTTACTGCCAGTTCTCAAATCAAGGGCGTAGAACGGTCGAGAAGAACTGGCAATAAACTCTCCGCCATTCTTTTCAATCGCCATGTTTTTGTTTTTAAACAACGTTTGTAAGGAACTGCAAAAATTACACCATGTTCCACATGACATCGTATGTAATTAATAATAATAATAAAATAAATTAAAAACAAAGATTTGTCCTCTATCAGCAGGAGGCATGGTGAAATAGAAGCACGCACTTACATTCCCGTGGGAACAACACGCAATATCAATTCTTCGATACAAATAAAATAAAAAGTCACCTATAAGTTTTACCTAGTAGCGTTTTTATTCAATCATAACGAGTATTTTGGAGAAAAAAATAATTGAATTCAGCACATTAGTTTTATTAAATATTTTATATGTTACGTTTTATTTTTATTTTACGTTACGCGTTTACTTCATTAACTCAGGCATACGTTTGTTTCACTAGTCACTAGCTTAAGGAGACGCGCGGGTGAAATCATGAATTTTGCTAGCTTAATGCGCGCCCTTATATCGGCACCGTTTTAATCAAAGTAGTCATCTGTCTCTTTTCTTGACAGCATAAACACAATTTGACAGAGAGAGACGTAAAAGAGCAATAAGTCTGTTTTAGTTTTTACAAATAAGTGACTCTTTTTTTGCATTCCATGTACTTAAATAATCATTTGTTTCGCGAACCGAGGAATGGAAATACTCTCCAGTGGATAAAGAGACAAACATACATCTCACTATTAAGTATTTTTAGTAGGCCTTTACGTGTAGATACTAAGTTAAGGGTACATTAATTTTAGTAAAATAAAAAATAAAATATGTTTATTATGGAACATAAGATACATGTATCACTTATTCCACGTCATTAAATTTCAATTTGTAGGCATCCCTACTCATCGGCAAAGAAGACAGAGGGTGTAGGCCGAGGGAAAAAGCCGGCGTAAGAAACTCTCGGTACTCTTTTAAAATAGCAAATCATCAAACAACACTTATTTTAAAACAAATATCGCAAATTAATTAGAGGTAATTAATTAGAGTAGAAATAAATGATATTTTTTTCAGTATGGAGGTCGGTGTACGGATAATAGGTATCATCCTACGACTTCTACACTTCTTGCTAGTACCCTTGTTCTGGATGCGCGCGCGCAACACCAAGCAAGTGCCGCCGATACGGGATCCCATATTACTTAGAAGTGCGACGGATTTGGCGGCTAAAATACGAAACGGAGAAGTATGAATATATTATTTCATTATATTTTTAACAAAAATAACGCATTGAAGATGATGATTAATTGATGACAATTCCTTGTCTGTTTCTCTTTTAATTCTAAGTCTTGTGCCTTGAAAAAAAAACCAGTGGCGCTTCAACCTTTTTTGTCTGGACCTCAGATTTCTGTACCTGTCATTTGTCAATCTAATAGGCAAGTAGCTGAACAGCCACCTGTGCCTGACACACGCATTCGACTTTTTGGGTCTAAGGCAAGCCGGTTTCCTCACGATGTTTTCCTTCACCGTTCGGCGAATGTTAAATGGGCATATAAAGTACATTGGTGCACAGCCGGGAATCGAACCTACGACCTCACGGAGGCCAACACTGCTCTGTGCTTTTTAACACAAATAACTTTTACAGTTTTTATGCACATATAGACTCATTTGTATGTATCAAAATTTATCTAAATCAGTCAAGCGTATAACGATACAAGTGTGGTAAAGCAACAAAAACTTATAACACGATTAATGTCACGGCCAACTTACCGACTATAGGAAAATTTGACAGATTTTCCACAGCACTAAAAAAATAAAAATTTATTTCGTATACGGAAAGTAAACAATGTACATTGTTATTATTTATGTCAATAACAAATTACATAATTAATATTTTTTGTCCCTTCACTTTAAGTAAACTTGTTTTGTATTGGCATTTTTTAAAGATCTATTTTATTTATATAATTGAACTAATAATACATTCCTTATTTGAACATGAAAAGTTAATATATTTTTAACTACCCGCTATTATTATTACCATAAAATACCCATAAATTATTTATGTGACGGTAGAAGCAGTTCTTGAGTTTCTTTAGTTTTGCATGATGTAAATTTTAGACCCAATTTTCAGCTAACAAGCGAAACAGTAACGCAAGCTTTCATAACCCGAATAGAAGAAGTGAATATTCTCTTGAATGCGGTAGTAGAAGATAGGTGTAAGGACGCGCTACAGGAAGCGAAAGAGTGTGATAGCAGGATTGCTGCGGCGAAAAGAGATGGCACGATGCATCAACTGTTTGCGGGTAGACCACTTTTTGGGGTACCCTTCACGGTTAAGGAGAGTTGCTCTTTGGAAGGTATTTACTTTTACAAACAAATTATATCATCTTAACTTTGGCATAGTCTTTATTTCTGTGTTTCCTTGATATTATTTATAAAGGCAGGCTGGCGATCGTTGGGTCTAATACGTGCTTTTCTCACGATGTTTTCTTTCATCGTATAAAAATAAATCGCGCTCATAAAGAGAAATCACTACTGCACAGCCGGGGTTTGAACGCATGAACTCATGAACGCATGAACGATGAGAATCGGTTGCTTTTTGCTTTAAGAAGTATAAAAATCCTACCTGGTCGTTATTCCAGGTCTATCAAATTCAGTGGGATGCCTAGAATTGGCCGGTCGACGAGCGACGAAGGACGGTGCAGCAGTTCACCTAGTGAAGAAGGCTGGTGGTATTCCTCTGCTAGTCTCCAACACCCCTGAACTGTGTTTGGGATGGGAAACAACGAACTTGTTAACTGGAACGACCAATAACCCGTATTGCTTGAATAGGACGCCTGGTGGTTCTTCGGGAGGTGAGGTTAGTACAATACGACAAATTTTCAGAACCAGATTTATAGCTAACGACACCAACTGAACGTAAAAGAGGTTCTTAATGAAGTACTGGATTGTCTCTGATGTTCTACTAGCTATTGATATCCCGATATCAAAGTAGAGTTTTTGTACGCGGTCCCAAAGTTACAGAACTATTACGCTACGATTAGTGAGAAAACTAAATCAATATTACATACAAATTCATCGCTTTCGCTGGAAATTATAGAGTAACGACGCTGGCATTGAAAAAACTTTGATCGTGTGTTTGCACCTGAGCTTCATCGTCGGACGTTGAGGCAGAAAACAAAATTCTATCCGTATCACCTCGACGTCCGCTGTTCCACAGGGCGTTTTTTAGGAAGTTTTTTGCCGCGTACCACCACTATGTGGAACCAGCTGCCCACTGAAGTATTTTCGAACCAATTCGACTTAGGGTCCTTCAAGAAAAGCGTACCCATTCTTAAAAGGCCGGCAACGCACTCGCGAGCCCTCTGGCATTGAGTGTCCATGGGTAACATGCCTTTTTTTGGCTTTTTTCCCTGAAAAAAACAAATTTGTTGGTTTTTTTTTTTTAAAAAAAAAAAATTTTTTTTTTTTTTTTTTTTTTTTTTTTTTTTTTTTTTTTTTTTCTTTTTTTTTTTTTTTTTTTTTTTTTCCCCCCCTTTTTTTTTTTTTTTTTTTTTTTTTTTTTTTTTTTTTTTTTTTTTTTTTTTTTTTTTTTTTTTTTTTTTTTTTTTGGGGTTTTTTTTTTTTTTTTTTTTTTTTTTTTTTTTTTTTTTTTTTTTTTTTTTTTTTTTTTTTTTTTTTTTTTTTTTTTTTTTTTTTTTTTTTTTTTTTTTTTTTTTTTTTTTTTGTGGTTTTTTTTTTTTTTTTTTCCCCCCCCCCCCCCCTTTTTTTTTTTTTTTTTTTTTTTTTTTTTTTTTTTTTTTTTTTTTTTTTTTTTTTTTTTTTTTTTTTTTTTTTTTCACTTAACATCAGGTGAGCCAACCTACATGGTTCAAAACACAAATTGTGTATAAGAGCTATTTTCAAAGTTGGGGCTGGCAACATCTTTACTGTGGGAGCAATAAACACTTATAAAGAAAATCCTCGTAGGATCTACTGCAATTTCTAGACCCTGAACAGTCTATCAGACAGAAGTCTAATCACCTATTTTTCTATGAAATTTATGATAAAACACATACAGAAACATAGTGGTCATAAGTGGCTTCGCCATAATGTATATAAATTTTTTAATTTATTCAAATTAAACTGTTTAACTTAACATTTCGAGTCTTTTGCAAAGGCTTGGCAAATACTAAATAATACAGGCAAAAGTTTATTAATTTAAATGCTTAATATAGAACTCGTAGTTGGTAAACGTGTAGTACAAGAAACAATGCTAAATAAATATGTATTATATGTTTCAAAACGTACGTAAGCTGCAAAACATACATTAGGTCATTGTGTATTCTAGCCGTAGCCTATTGACAGTCATAAATTGCATGTTCACCATTGACATATTTTGCACTTCATATTATCATTAGTTTACACTTGACATAGATTTTCTTTTACTTAAAATAATTGTCTGAGGACATTTATATCTAAATACAGTCAAACCTGGATAAGCGAGAGTTCAAGGGAGCACAATCTCATTCTCGCTTATAGAGGTTTCTCACTAACCCGAGTTTCTCGCTAATGCAGGTACATGGGTAGCGTTTCTCTCTTATAGAAGCAATAACAAGTCACATAATCACAGTATATATTTTATTTTATTTAGAACTTATTTAAACTTAAAAAAATCCGTCAATTTCGTTTGAGTTCTGTTTTTGTATTTTGAATATTTTTCTCTAACTCATAAATTTTGTCGAATATATGTATGTATTTTTATTGTAGCTATAGTTCCTCCTAAATAATATAAATAAAAATCGACTGTCGCTTATAGAGGTATAGATAAGTAGCAGTCTCACTTACGGAGGTCCACGAGGGAAAAATGTCTCTCTCTTACAAAGGTTTCTGTTTCTCGCTAATAGAGGTTTTGGGAGCTTAAAATGACGGGTCCCGGCTATTACTTTTTTTTTGTATTTTTTTTTAGTTTTTCTCTTAACTAGGGTTGCCTGGAAGAGATCGCTCATTAGCGCCCGTTGCATCCCTTATAATTTTTATGTATTGTGTTTCTTTTATTTGCAACGAAGTGTAAATAAATAAAAAAATATTACTCTCACTTATAGAGTTTTCTCACTTACCCAGGTTTACTTACCCGACTTTGTTTTTTACCCTTACTGTATATAAAACAAAGTCGTGTTAGTTACACCTCTTATAACTCAAGATCGGCTGGACCGATGTTAGTTATCTCTTTTTTGGTGGATTCTTCTCTGCTCCAAATAGCAGAATAAGTAATAGATTATCGGATAAGTTGTCGAATAAAAATACATTAATTAATAAATTTTACGAATGCAAACAGCATGTGGTGCCATCTTTTGACAAAATTACGCGTATAAAAAAACCTACCACTTTGTTCTTGCGCCGGATAACAAAACAAAAAATGTATACCAGAAAGTGCTTTAACATGCAGTATCGCAATATTGAGAGAAGAGGCCTAATGTGTAAAACTGCCATTCTTGTTTCGCAATAAAACATTTCTGTATTTGCAAAAAAAAAGTTGTATTAATGTTAACCTTAATGAAATCCTAAAATAAGTTTAACTAAAGTTAACACGATATTATTAGACTGTTAGGCGGAACGAAGTTCGCCGGGTCCGCTAGTTTTAAATGTTTTCAAAATATTATCATTCTAATAGGGAAATAATTATTGGGATGGTGTATTCCTTACAAGATCCAAAAATACAAACCTTTCCTCCTGTTAACAAATGTGTCGTATTAAAAATAACTGTGATAAAAAATTACACGGGAATTTTTAGCCGAGTCGTTTTAGACATCTCTGTATTATATATTTACAACTACATAATATCACGCTTTTTAAAGCCATTATTAAAAAAGAATAAATAAAAAAAAAAGACTACTCTCAATAAAGCTTAATTTTTCTGTCAAATAGACTATTGTTACATTAGCTTGTAATGTCGTAAACATTCTATTGTTAAAAATATACTTGTGATACGTTAATGTTTAAAATGAATCGAACAGGCAGCATTACTTGCCTGTGGGGCATCCCCGATCAGCGTGTCTTCAGACATCGCGGGCTCCATCCGAATACCGGCTGCCTTCTGTGGGGTCTTCGGACACAAGCCTAGTCCGGGTAAATGAATATTATTATTTTTAGAGTACATTTAAGTCCAACAGAAATTTAACTTTTTACATTTTAGGTTAAAATTAATGTTATGTAACTTAACATTAGTTAACTTATATATATTATTTAATTAGAAGTGCAAATCAAACGGTAGCAATCATCGCACACTTGAAGCCAAAATAAGCCGTTTAGTTTTTCCCATACTCATAAATTGTAATATAACATTCTCGTTTACGATAATGTCCAATTGATCGACTACATTTATATTCTTTATAAGTAACTGAAGATTTAAGAACCTTTAAATAAGTCAAGTTAGTTTTTTTTTTTTAGTCTAGCGTCGCAACCACTACCTCTAATTTTATTTAGTTATGAGCTCTAGTTTTAAACGATTAAAGCTAGTTGAATTAGGGGGAAAGGTTAATCAAATGAAAGTAATCTACTTTTTAAAGGTAAAAGCTAGTGGTTGGGATAAAACTTCACCGATTTCAATGTGGTGGGGAAAAATTGCGACTAAAAACTGCTGCGCGTGTACTTGATTTTATTTTCACAATTAAAGGATACTATTTTTTTTGGTATATTCTTAGCCATAGAATTGTGTTGTTTAGGAATAATACCGATAGAGGGACACATACCCACTCTAAACGATGAGAACTACAGCAAGTATCTGGTAGTGGGGCCCATGAGCAGACATGCAGAGGACCTGACTTTGCTCATGCGAGTCATGGGTAACGGGAAATGTGAGCAGCTCTTGCTCGACGAAGAAGTAGATGTTAGCAAACTACAAGTAAGAGAATTAGGATTTTATGAGATAGAGATACAATTTTTTTTTTAATATGTCACGAACGAAGTTCGTTTCTTTGGGAAAATATTTTAGAGAAAATTCTATTCTAAACCATATTTTTTTATTCTAAAAATTGTATAAAATATATTTTTATACATTCCTCATTAACTATAAAATATAGTAAAATAAGTAATTGCCATTTTGTTTATTATATGTTCACGTCAACAAATTCCAGGTCTACTACATGACGGAAGCCAGCAGTTCTGCAGCACTGATTCCAGTAGAAGCAGAACTAAAGGAGGCCGTCACTCAAGCCGCTCTTTACCTCCAGAGCCGTGGGGCTACGGTTTCGAAGGTGAGGGGAATAATCAATATTTGGTCTTCTGAGACAGGAAATAAAGACTACACACCGTGGACAACTCCTCTGAACACTCTCCTTGATAAGAGAGACCCCACATCTCTACGCAACGCCAAAGGGTCAAGCCGCACTCGCTCTTCGAAAATCTGTTTCCATAGACTCTCAATCTCGTGATAAACGTCATATTCATTCTTTAATTAAATTAAAAAAAATCCTTAATTGTCAAATGAATCGTGCCCTTAGTTCAGAAAAATCTCAAAAACTCTGTCTTCAAGACCTGACAAATATTGTGAATTGGTTTTGAAATTGCAGCATTATTTGGAAGACCTAGAAGACTCGGTAGAGATGTCGGTGTCCGTCTTCTTCTCCATGAAGGACATCCCCAACATGCTCCAGGATCCAGTTAATCCGAAGGTAAACTCTTACTTCACGGTAGTCTTGTCGAGTACAAATTTTTATTGAAATTTTAGAAAATCTAAATTGAACCCTAAACGATCAGAATAGTTTTAATTTACTACACAAGTACAGTACGCCTATAACACGCTAGACCCGGACCGCGTTATAGGAATTCGCGTTGTAGAGGAATTCGTAAAAGCGTTTGAATATTTCAAAAACTAGGAACACGAATTTAATAGAGTTATTTAGTTTAATTTCATAATAACATAATTGAAACAAGTGCCAAGGTACCTATCATTATAAATTTCACACCTCGGAAATATAACTTGAGAAATCTCCGCGTTATAGGGGAGATCATTGTACTATACAGTTAAAATATAACATTTTTGGACCTACACCAAAATACCTTTTAGTTCATAAGCACTGCGCCATTAAATATATAAAGGAGGCACAGACCATAGTGTTAATTAATTTATCTCGATTATTAGTCTTTGGTACACAATTAAGTTAAACACACAGTTCATAAAATCTTCAAAAAAACAACTTTAAATATTCGTCACATTCAAAACGCGTTGAATGACAAACATCGAAGTCAGTATACTGTTACAAATGGAAATCTCGTTACCATAGTAACAAATACGGTACTAATTTTATAATTAGGCTGTAGATCAGTGTTCTCAACGTGGGGCCACTCCCCACAGGGGGCAATTTGATTGTTAAGGAGGGCTATTGGAAAATTGTTTGTAATTTTAATTTCAGTTGTATGTTTTGAAATTTTACTTACTGTGTTTCGTTAACAATTTCCTAGTAATTTCTCCCTAAAACCTATTATTTAAGTTTCTTAATTGAACCATTCGATTTTTAAAATATATTTAAAATGATGTATAAGAATTTTAGAAAGATTAAGATGGGGCACGGCACAAAAAAGCTTGCTGTAGATAAATTTAATACAATTAAAACGTCTTTCAGCAAGACAAAAGCCTCTTGATGGAGTTGATAAAGTACATCTTGGGCTTCGGAGTGCGATCTCTGCAAGCTCTCGGCTTTACGCTCATACATCGGACCAATTTGTTTATTCCTGAGCATCGAACCGTCCACTACCGGGAGAAGACTGAACGGCTGAGGCAGCACCTGCAGGTACTGAGTGTTTTTCAGATGAAATTATTAATGCATGGGAATTTTATTAACATCAAATAAAATGTAGTTTCTATAAATCTATTTTCGTTTAATCTGCAATATCATTTGTTAAATTATCAATTTAAACTTTTCAGTTCGTACATTGATTAATTAATTGATTAGACTAATTTATAATTAATTATCAGAGGAGTTTAGTGTAGCACTGCCAACTTTGAGGTTTTCCCCCAAATTAAGGGGGAATCGTGGTTTTCAAAGAGTTTTTGGGGGTATATTCGTTTAGGGGGATTTAATTTAAATATAAAAATGGACAGCCCTATATAATTCATATTAAAATTTAAACTCAACCGTCAAACTAAACCAAGCACGCATAAGAGTTATGAAGAAACTATTTTTAATTTATATTTGAAATTATCGGGTTTTTCATCGATATTTAGAGGAATTTAAAGTTGGTCCTGGGAAATTCTCTACGAGTTGATTTCTTAACAATTTTCTTAACTTGTTCGGTTGAACCACCTATCACTAATAACGCTTCAGCGCCTGCTGGGCTCGAGCGGCGTGCTGCTGTCGCCGGCGCACAGCAGCCGGGCGCACGCGCACGGAGAGGTGTTCGTGCGCACGTCGGGCGTGGCCTACACCATGCTGTGGAACGGAGCGGGCCTCCCCGCCACCGCCGTGCCGCTGCCCTCTGTGGGACTGCCCGTGGCCCTGCAGGTCTCTCGAGTCATTCTACTACTATGCTGAAGATATAATTCATTCTAAAATAAATTTTACTTTTTAATTTCATGACATACATGTTTAATGTTTATCTACAAACTTAAAATAGTCTAACTCTCCATTACACAATTTAAAAAACCTTATTCATATCCCAATATCTATTAAACATTTTAAAAGTTTTTCATAATTCCTTAATACAGAGATTGAATTTGTTAAGAAAAAGAATTCAATTTTTAACATAATATAGACTATTCAATAAAAACTATATTGCATTGTCTATGGCCTTAGTACCGTTTTTTGTTTTATGATTTGAGGCTTAGGATCCTCTAACGAACTATTATTTGCCTTTTTCACTAAAACTTCTGTAAGTAATTGTGCGTTTACGAGTCAATTCCTCTTCAGGTAATAGCAGCGCCCAATCAAGACAGGTTGTGTTTAGCCGTCGCCAGAGAGCTGGAGAGAGGCTTTGGAGGGTGGAAGTTTCCTACTGTTTAATAATGTATATTAATTTAAATACTCTTTTTATTTTATTTAAGATGAGTATTCAAAGTTGTTTACGGCGACATCTGTTGACTGTGAGATATTATTTTCAGTTAATAATGGCATTTTTTGAATTCGTTCGCTCATTATATCGGGCACGGTATAGACAATTTTCAGTTTGTCAAATATCTATATATCCCAAACAACACAAATAAAGTCAGAAACACGAAAAGAAAAATATTTTTGGTATAAAAACTGTACTGTTAACTTTATATTAGTAGTTCTATGTGTATTTATGGTTATTTCTCAAACTTAAGTAATTATGCAAATACAAATCATATCAAGGCAAAACTAATGTCGAGATCTCTATTTTTAGTATATGACTCATTATCTAAAAAAATGTTTTATATTTCTACATAATCATTTATAAATAATTCTAAAAAATATAATTCCTCTATTTTTTAACAATAAATTATTTTATTTGTGATTTAATTGATATAATAACTTAGTTATAAAGCTCGCTTAAGTAATAACAGAATATAAAAACTAAAATGTTTACTTGTTCTGTGTATAATTATTTTTTGTACAGATGAAAGCATAAGTATATTAAATGTTACTTAAATGTTCTATGGTCTATTTAAACTGACAGTTGTTACATAGCCATAAAAATAAAAAAACACAATTAAGGAATTGATCTGTTTAATATTGAAGCTATAAAACTTTTGTATGCCTACATTATAGGACTGGATAAGAAAATCTTCTAGTTGGTAATATTAAGAAATGTATCACATTTTAAGTGTATGTAAATACAACAACGGGAACTAGAGAACATGTTAAGAACTTATGTTAAGTGAAAGTGTATTTGTATAACATTTTTAATAGAGTATAAGGTTTTAAACATTGTTTTTACTACAAATAAATCTTGATGGATGGCTTTGTTGTTTAATTAAATCTCCCTGAAATTTGACTGACTACTAAACTATATAGTTTCAGGCCATAAATTCACCTGAAATAATAATTTTAAAAAGTTGCTCTTTGCTACATACTAAGTTGTACTTTTCTGAAACTCAGAGTACAAACATAATAACATGCAGCATGCATGCACCAAATAGGCAGTATGAAAAGTAATGTGGTTTTTTTTATAGAACAGGGGGCAAACGGGCAGGAGGCTCATCTGATGTTAGTGATACGGCCGCCCATGGACAATCAATGCCAGAGGGCCCGCGAGCGCGTCGCCGCGCCGGCCTTGTAAGAATTGGTACACACTTTTCTTTTAAGGATCCTAAGTCGAATTGGTTCGGAATTACTTCAGTGGGCAGCTGGTTCCACATAGGGATGTTGCGCGGCAAAAATTGCCTTGAAAAACGCTCAGTCGTGGAACAGCGAACGAGGTAATACGGGTGGAATTTCGTATTCTGCCTCGACGTCCGATGATGAAACTCGGCTGCAGGTATTAATCCGAACAACTCCTCTGAACACTCTCCATGGTAAATGCGGTAGAAGATACAGAGTGACCCCACATCTCTACGCAACGCCAAAGGATCAAGCCGCTCGGAGAGGGATTGGTCGTCGACGATTCGAACCGCTCTGCGTTGTATACCGTCAAGTGGAAGGAGCTGGTACTGGGAAGCCCCCACCCAGAGGTGAGAACAGTACTCCATGTGGGGCCGAATTTGCGCTTTATATAGTTGCATGCGGTGGCCCGGAGTGAAGTACCGTCTTGCCTTGCTGAGCACACCAAGCTTTTTGGAGGCTTATTTAGCCTTACCCTCCAAGTGACCGCGAAACTGAACGTCGTTCGATATGTCAACGCCAAGTATTTCAATGCTGGCTGTGCCTTTAAGAAGAGTGTCTTCGAAAAGAAGAGTAGCGACAAAGGGTGATTTTTTGCGGAAAACGCGCAAACTTGTGTTTTCATGGGGTTAAATTGGACTAGGTTTTGCGTGCCCCAGTCTGAGACTCCACGTAGTAGAGTTTCGACTTCAGACACAAGTTTGTTCCGGTACTCATCAACAACTGCCCGAGAAATACCTTCCCTGCCAGTGTAAAGAGTATCCCCTGTCATCCGCATAGCAATGAATGTTGCTAAGTTGCAACATATCTTTGATAGGCAGAAGAAATAACACATCAGAAGAAATAAGAATAACACGGGGAAAGAACACAGCCTTGTGGGACCCCAGCGTTCACGGAACATGCACCGTTGATGCTCCGATCGGCCAGAAAGCTGGAGATCCAATCGCATAATTTCTCGGGAAGCCCATAGGCTGGAAGCTTCGAGAGCAGTGCTCTGTGCCATACATATTAAATGTATAAACATGTCACTTACAAGCGTTATGAAGTAAAACTTGTTTATAATAATAAATTTATCTAAAAATCCATAATAAAAACATTAATTATTATACGTCAGTCACGTGACACAATATGGTCCCAGAATAGTGGAATCGACGATGACGTAGTATGCATGTAAATAATGTCTTCGCGTGTCTAATTCAAATACCATCTCAGTCATCAATTTAATTACGCCTAGCCTATTATTGGATCCAATTTGACTTGGTCGTTTTGGTGGGTTCTTGAAATTATGAAAGAATTATTAACTTTTTAAAGTCAATACTTAACAGAATAAAAAGTAAATATTTGCCTACTCACGAATAAATAATCTGAAAAAGGATTTTTTAAATCTTGCTGAAGGTTCAAAGATTATATGAATTTACCGCCATTATTGATTGATGTTGTTCTCCTTTCGCCCATGGCGCAGGTCTTTCGACCATACCGCCTAGTCTTTCGTAGAATTTTCTTTAATTATATATTAAACCTAACCTAACCTCCCGCCATTATTGAATATTGATATTCTTCCAAATTATATACATAGTTATCTACCATAGATTAGGATAAATATTTTGACCAAAGATAATATTAAAAAATGTTTATTTCACCCTGCCACAAAGAATTATTCTTTTAGCTTGGCATCAGGATTTTAAATAAAATCTAAAGAGATAAAATTATATGGAATACTAATTCCTGGATATTTAATTTTTTTTGTTTTTGTGATAAAAAATCACACAATTCTATATCCATCCAACAACTATATACGCTTTACTCAATTGTTTTATAATTTGTCTTATCACAAGTACAATCGAATCAATAAAAACATATCTTTGTAGTAGTTTTAATAACTTTTATGAAAACATAGCATTTTTCTAATAATGCTGCTATATTTTTAAGTTACCTAACGACAAATATTCTGAGGATAAATCTCGATTTAGTATTTCTTCTTATTTAATATGAATTTAATATTCCCGTAATTTTAGCCAGTTTCAAATAGAGCAAATAATGTAAAATCCACAAATTGAAAAATATTAATATTAAATGGCAACATTATTCAAGTAACGTTCTTAGTGGACTTCCTTTTGGCGGGAAAAGGAGAGCCGCGTTTTTCAAATAAAATTTTGTTTTATTTTAAATTAAATTGTCTTTTTCAAGACAGAGTGCTTTTGGAGGAGAATAATGTTTTCAGAGAGTGATGGTGATGAAGACGGGTCTACAAAGTCACCCGTAGACTCGAAAAGAGGCGATTTGATAACTCAGTAAAATCGAACGATGTCGATAAGTATAAACCTTACTCTAAACCAGATTATAAGCGATCCTACCCGGATAATAGTAACATAGAAGAGTTCCCCCGTTTACGTACAGGGAATTAAAATGGAAGATAAGATAGGTAATAAAAATCCTTTGCATTTATCAAAAATATTCAAAAACGTGAAGGGCATTAAGGAATGTCGTCGAGTTAATGCGGCCAAAATTATGCTGGTTTTCAAACAAGCTGCAGCTGCTAATGATTTTCTGAGTCACGTTAGCTTACGTGACAATAATATGAAAGCTTTTGTACCAGCCTCTTCGGTGGAGCGAGTGGGTAAAATTCGTTTTATCCCTAAAGAATGCATAACCGGATTTATACCACAAACTAATGGCTGACTCTGAAATTTTTGGTGTTAGACGTTTCATGAAAAAGAACTTGTGATGGTCTAGAACCCCTTACTACTATAAGCGTTACCTTTGTAGGAACTGTTCTCCCTCAGTATGTTTATTTAGACAACTGGCGTTACAAAGTTTTCACTTATATTCCTCCTCTCATGCAATGTTTTAAATGCATGAAATTTAGACACAGTGCCAAAGTATGTAGAAACAATCAGGTTTGTTCAAAGTGTTCAGGTGGTCATTCCTATAAGGAATGCTCACTGAATTTTTAAAGTGTGTTAACTGTGGAGGAGACCACTTGGCAGTATCCAGGTTTTGTCCTCAAAAAGCAGCTCAGATTAAAAAAACATGAAAATAATTATTCATCTAAAATGTATTCAACTGTATTATTGTCAAGTGATTTTCCTCCGTTACCTAGTGATAAATCTGTTGTAAAGTTGGCTCACAATAAATTAGCTTCACCTACTGTCCAACCTAAGAAAAAAAAAAGTTATCACAAAATTCATCAGATAGTTCAATTCCAGTCCAGTCTCTCCTCTAATAGTGGTTCCTATGATCAGCTCATTAAAGATGATCAGTTCTTGAGTAAAATTATCAAAACTTTAGTTATGTTAGGCAATTCATACACAAACACAACTCACACATTAAGGATATATTAATACAAAACTTAACAAAATAATGGATTATTTACGATTAATGCAACATAACATACAGAGTATCAATAATAAAAAACCACTTCTAAATCTTTATTATATGATAATAAAATAGATGTGTGCTTCTAAATAAACTTGGTTAAAAGATTCTGGTCTGCCTTTTTATATACCTGGTTATATATTTGTTGGAAAAAATGCTAAAAATGAGCATGGAGGTGTAGGTATTTTAATAAAAAATGATATTAAATTTAAGGTCTTAAAAACTACTTTCTATCAAAATATTCAATTTATAGCTATTTCTATAATAACAGGATGTGGTCCTGTCTCAGTGCTCTGTGTCTACTGTCCACCAAATAATAGCTCAATTAGTTTGATTAATTTGAGAAA